TTTTATTTAAATGAAAACTTTGAAGTTTTTTTGAAATATCCCCATTTTAAAAAAAAAAAAAAAAAAAAAGAACGTATTTGGAGATTTTACACAAACACAAAATATTTTAGTTCAAATACTAACACAATTAATAGCAATACCAAGGTCCAATCTGAGGGAAGAATTTATGACTTCTGCAGTCTCTTGTTGCATTCCAATATTACCAGAAATTAAAAATGTATTAAATGGCACTCTTTAATATATATTTATATATATTTCTGCGTTTTATTTTATTTCCAGGCTGAGATGTCGCTCATGTGAGCCACACGGCACAACCACAGAGGGGCCGTAGAAAGTCCAGGAGCAGCGAAGCAACTCGCAAAAACTTTAAAGCGCAAGCAAACGTGCCAAACGTTGGAAAATCTGCCTCCATGGGCTTCCCCAGAAAGGATACACGCAAATAAATCCAGGGAGTGCCGTGAAAACGTCACCGAGGAGCGGGAGGAGACGCAGAAAATATAAAACGGGTAGGGGAGGAATTTTTTATTTTCTTTAGCTGACAAAGATGTTTTCTTGAATAGATTTTTGTTTTACATGAACGCAAAAACATCGATTAAAGTTTTAAATGGCTCCCCACAAATTGCAGCACGCCTACTTGGTGCTCCTGGTAAAGATGTGTGAAAGGCCTTAAAATAAGTTTGGATTTCACATCAGAAACGCGTCGTCGCACCAAAAAAATAGCAAATGTTTGTGCGTGTTATGGCAAGACAGAAAAGTGTGTTTTGGGAAGTTGAACTTGGGTCTTCATCAGTCTTTTTATTTGACTTTTGAGATGGTCAAGTTTAGACAATGAGCTGTTTTCTCAGCCATTAGTTTAAGTTGCGTTGTTATCCTTTTTCTGGGTGCCAAATGTGGTGGGAGCAAAGATTTCTGTTTGAAGGGAAAAAAAATTACTTTGTGGTTGTTTTTCCAATCAGTAAAAATTATAATTAATGGCTGTTTTTTTGTGTCAATGCAAGATTATGATGCTACGAGTAAGGTTATCAACCTTTTTTTCCCCCAGGAAATCCAATATAAAGTTTGCCTCACCTTCCTCACTAAAGACAAATTCACCACATTTAGCCTCTTGTTTGAAATCTTTTAAAGGTAACATATGGTATGATCTTAAAAATAAGATGAGATCCAACTAAACCTTCACACATATGGCCTCTGATTTTTTTCAACTTCCTCGCCAGCATGTATATAGTCCTGTGTCTTTGTGTGACAGTCAGGATTGCACACACACACATTGTCTCTCTGTGCGTTCGGGTGCGTGAGCGTGTGTATGTATCCATGACGGATTTGGCATGAGGTGCAGCATTCGTTAGTGTCTCCTTAAGCATATATTATGCCATGGTTCCTGCATTTATTGCGCCTCCTCTACTGGCAGCACTGTGATTAGTGCCGACAGTATTCGACCTACCCCTTGCTATTATATTCTTTGTGCACGCATGTGAGTGCGCTGCGTACATGCCAGGCAGAGATAAAGTAAAAGCAGTAATTGTTGTAATTATTCTTTCTCCGATCTCTTAACGCCTACTGTGATGGTGGAGAATCTAGCTCTGGGAGAATCGAACACTGCAGCATGCAATCCATCCCAATTTATTCACACTTGTGAGCACGCCAGCTTATGGTGCTCATTACTGGTCATTATGTTAATTGCTAGTGTCAGGAAGAGAGTCAGAGTTCCTGACAGAAGTGCAACAAAAAAAAGAAAAATCCAAAATATAATCCCTCTTAATCAAAACTCAATTGATCTTTAAAAGAAACGGCATTGAACATGTAATTTTAAACAAATTCGACGTAAAGTTGCACTTCTTTTAAGTGCGGACGCAAATTAATATTTCGAAAGGCGAATTAAAGAAGGGCGTGTTCTCGTCCAAGGAGATAAAACTAAAACCCATTTGTTCCGTTTCTCTGGTGGTCATCTAATGCAGCTCTGTTGCCGAGCGTCACCCCAGATGCTTCTGCAAAACAAACGCCTGAGATCTCAAACCTGTGCACACAAACTGACTCCTGAGGTCGGTGTTAATGTTTTATTTTCTCAGCTGTTTGGTGCATATTAAAACTTGAACTGTGTCCTGAGAAAACAGCTCATAAGCGACCTGCAGGAGATGACCTCCTCTGAACTGTTTATCTCAGCACAGAGTTTCTCCTTGTGTTCGGCGGCCACATGTGCAGTGGAAGTGTCTGGAGACGTAGACTTTAATACCACATAAGTGTTGTGTGGTTTGCTCTGGCTTTACGGGAGGTTATTGGCATGGCCGTGGTTTTTAGTCCTGCATCGAAAGGATTCCGAGCCACTAAACAAGCCTTAAGTCCCTCCTTAGAGTTTTGGCCCTAAAAATATAGTGAAAGCTGTAGTTTTGTTAATTAATAGAGCAGGGGCTTATTAAATTCAGACCTGAGATCCAAGTGCTGAGATCAGTTTAAATGAATAATGTAAAGCAGGCAAATTTAAAGTTTTTTTTTTTTCTTTCTTTTTTTTTTTTACCAGTTTCTCCAAAATTTAAACTAAATGTTCTGAAATGTTTGAGGATTTAAAAACAATCCTCAATAAATTAAAACTTGTTCACCCAATTCTTATATTTAAAGTCACTGGTGTTGTAGGGAGTCAATCATACCGCCCTGAAATAATAACAAAAAAAGAAAAGAATAACCAAGACATTACTCCTTACTTTGTTTCAAGGTTACTCTCTCAGTCCAGTCTTCCTGCTTTGAAAATATTAAATATTTTCCCTCTGCGATTGTGTCATAAAAACAGCGGCGATACCTTTGTTTTTTTTTTTTGTTGCGATGGCTTCAATAACAACCCGTATTCACAGAAGGAAATGAGCAGATTTCTGGTTATTACCAAAAACTCTGTTAGAGGTTATCGGCGAGCATAACCATGGCAGACTGACGTCTTTAAGCAGGGCAATCCCTTAATGCCAAGAAAATTCATGTTGTTGGTGAAGCAGAATAACAAAACAGCGTTTGGGTCAGCATTTGCTGCAGAGGCATTAACATGAGTTACAACACTTTTTTTTTTTCAGGGCTCTGGCTGAGAACATTTTCACAAAACAAAAAATACAACAAAGGTAAAAGGACAAGATAAGAATAAAATGTGCAACAGATATTTCATAAACACTTCTTTTTTTTTCCCTAAGTGATGTTGGCTGTAGCTTTTAAAGTGAATCCAGTGAAGTCACTGTTTAAGCTCCTTTGGAAAGAAAAAAAAAAAGGAATGCAACAATGCTGGTCAAACCTAATCTGTGCTACATTTTTTAAATCAAGGCTTTTAGATGTCGAGCAGTGGGCGAGAAGAGTTGCTTTTAGCAGCTGAAAATAAATTCTGCTCTTAAATCACGAGATTCGCAAGGGAACCAAAACGTTCCCAAGACCCTTTTCATGAAAAGCACCACGGTTGTTCTGAAGAGTGGGTTAAACCAGAATCTGTGTGCTTGCTTTTAGCAAACATGTGGATATTAATGTAATGAATAAATGAGCAAGATTTTTGGAAAGAGTGTTTGTTTTGAGTGAATCTAAAATGCAGCTAAGTCGTTCAAAGATTTCTGGAAAAGGACAGGTTATTTTTTTTAATCGATTGTTTCCGAGAGCTAACGATCGTATGAGGGTCGTGTGTAAGAGACAAGTTGTATAGCATATTTTAGATTTAATGAAACAAAGAAAATTGTCCAAACTTCACATTAAGGATAAAAAATAATAATCTTCTTTTGATTCTAACCACCTCCTCTTATGCTACCTAACTTCTAGCCAACATGTACCGCTCCTCAACACTAAAGTTACAGGGGGGGTGTTGAAAGAAAAAACCCAGGGGACTTTTTTTTTTTTTTTTTTTTTTTTTTTTTAAGTGGCACTTGATCTAGCTACAATTAATTACATCTTTTAAACTACAGTATCCAAAAACATTCATCCGTCCATCCACTATACCTGCTTATCCGTGCGGGGCCGCAGGGGGACTGGCTAAAGGGTGTAACATCCTGGACAGATTGCCAGTCCATCACAGGTCAACACAGCCATGCCTGCGCACACAATCGGCCTGCTGTCATCATCCTTGGCTGCTGGAGGCACGCCTCACTTCACCTGCGACCCTGAACAGGACTGAGTCGGCATAAAAGATGGATGGACGGGTGGATGTTGCCTCGTGATATCCTCTACTCTTCTGTGTAAACCAGGGATTTAAGCAAAGAGTGTTTGTGGAAAAAACATTCATTTTAAAATATACTCTCCTGGCACGAACGGTGTCCTTGCATGCACCACCAGTCAGCATGAGCTGCAGGTTCTCAGTGGGAGCCCGTAGTGCCGTCTCGTTCCAGGGAAATCCTGAAATCACTGAAGCAGCTCGTATTTCCCTGTTCAAAAGAAATCCTTTCATGAATACCAGAGCCACTACGACATAGACAATTTCACCTGAAGTTAAAGGTGTGTTTTCATTTTTTGCACGTTGTTAGCTGAAAGGACGGCAGGTAGGCCAGTGATTTTTGACTTCTTCGCAAAAAAGGAAGAGAAATTCTCCATGGCACCTTTATTTTACTTTAATTACAAGCCCCTTAACGTGTCTGTTCCTGTAAAATCAACCTGTTTATGAATTGATGTCTGCACAGAAAGAAAGACCTACTGTAGGTATTTGATTTCTATTTTGCTTCATCTGCTACATCACATGCATGATTTCCATTTGAACTTAACCCTGAGAAAATCCTGTGGTCAGTCACACACCCTGTGGTGAAATGATTCCTTTGTGACTGAATCACTATCTCTGTCATGTTTAAGCCTGGAGTTCAGTGCTGGACCTTGGCACTGTTATTTGCTACATTTTATTCACTTTTAAACCACAGTTCTACTTGGATTTACGTAAAAGCAGAGAGGTTTTGAGTTTGGCAGAGTGCATAAAAAAATTCCTGATGCACTGAGGCATGAAACAGAACAATAAAAGAGAGCTGCTGTCATCCCACAAATCAACAACAATGGAGGAGAAGCTGGACTTTTAGTTCCTCCATAGATTCTCTGTTGTTTTGTTTTCTTTTATTCAGTCACAGGATGAAAATGACCCTTTTCCCATAGATTAACAAGTTTGTTAATTATCAGTCATGAATAAATTTCTGAGTTCCAGCAATATCATAGAAATGTAGTGAGATCAGCATTATGCACAAAACCCATTGTCATTAATGTTGGAGACATTCAGATTTCAGTGAAAGAGCAGAGGCATAATTACTGATGACGTGGGATGTTAAGTCTTTGTCCTCATTGGGTTAAGTGGTTATATTTAAAAACACATTAAACGTCTCTGCCAAATGTCCATCAAATGATTGGCATCCTGTCAGCATTTTTTTTGCTCGGTGTAAATAGTCAAAACCTCAAAGTAAAAAGAAAACACAACCAAACAAACAAAACCTGTGGCCTTAGCCACACAAAAGCCTAAGATGAAGAGAAAGAGCTTCTGGCTTTTATTTATTTAATTTTTTCTCCCCTTTTATTTTACAATTCT